ATTTCCCTGGCTGTACAGTGTATAAGAATCCACCTGGGGACACGAGTTTGATCCCTGATCTGGGAAGATTCCACACGCCTTGGGGCGACTAAGCCTGCTCACCACAACTGCTGGGCCCGGGTGCTGAGACTCCTGAAGCCCATGCACCTAGCGGCCACGCTTCCCAACGAAGAGGCCACCAAAACGAGACGCCCACGTGCCAGAACAGAGAGGTCCCCTCCTCACTGCACCTAGAGAAAGCCTGAGAGCGGCAGCAAAGACCCAGCCTGTAAGGCATAGTTCTGGCGAGGCAGAAAAGGAAAGACGACCTCAACAGAAGTAGGTTACCTTTATTCAGGCAAGGAGGGGCGACAGTTGGCCTAACGACCAGGCTGAGCGCTGAGAGGGATCAGGGAGGCTTCATACTTATAGGGAGGTTTGTGGAAGCGATATGGGAAACGTCCATCAATCAGGCGGGATATTTTGAGTATTCTTTTGTTGAGATGACACTTGTATTTGGGCAGGGGGTGATAAGTCTTCTGGGCGGGTGGAGGGGGTGGTAGGTTTCCGGACAGGGGGTGATAAGTCCCAGATAGATGCAACCGGCCTTGAGCATCAGGGTGGAACTAAAATTATGCTTTGTTTTCTCTGAAGTTAGATGATTCAGCAAGGGGCCTTTGAGACTGTTGTTCTCTTTTCTAGGCCCAAAAGACTCCTTCACAGCCCAGACGGAAAGTAATCTGTTAATTTTAAAAATCAAGTAAATCCGAGATTTTTTAAATTGCATGGTTTAAACTTGATTTTGTAATAGCTGACTACATCTTATCTTGGAAGATAAGACCAAGTACTGCCTGTCCCTCTAAGTGAGGCAGCGTGTGGTAGGCTACAAGGAAAAGTGAGCTGACATGTTCTGACTGCGTGAAACTTCTAGCTGCTACCTTAGGAAGCAAGTTTAAGTGTGAGCAAAGACCCTATCTGAAAGATCCAGGACATATTCATTTCTGCCTAAACCTTGCTCTTTAGCTCCTTTCCACCACATACGCCTTCCCACTCCATCCTGAAGAAGACTCAGTTGTGAGCAATCCCTCCCACACATCCTACCCCTTTGAGCGAAATGATTTCCCCAACTCTGCACCCACCCCAGATGATGGTTTCTGGACAAGAACAAGACAAGAAGAGGGGACAGAAAGAACATCAAAATAAAGACACTCCTTTCTGAGAAAGGACAGCTGGCAACCTCACATCCACTTAAAACAATACAAACACATTTTATGTCTGTGGTTCAAATGCAAAAATATTGTAATCAGGACTTTTTCTGAGGAACGCCATAATTATTTAAGTCTAAATTTTGTAGGCTCTCTTGTTTCCAGGTGTAGTAAACCTTGAAAAAAGACTTTAAAATTTCTTTTTCTGAATCACCATAAAAATGAAAGAAATTTAGTAACTGATTTTTAAGAGAATTTTTTTTATATGTAGATCTCTGAATACTGGGCTCTAACAAAATATCAGCCAAAAAAACTGAGCTTTATCTACAAACTCTTGAAATGTGTTCTACAGTGTCACATCAGAAGAGCAGGGTCACTGTGCTGTATTCACTTGCTCTAACATTTCCTGGAAAATTCGAGAATATCTAACAACTGTTCGCTGACCAATGGAGGAGGCTCAGAAAGTGACTTGACTAAACTCACAGATCCCAGTACAGATGAAAAGGAAGGAGAGACTCTACTGCTGGGAATGGAGTCGAAGCTGACAGATTCAAGGACGAGCCGAGACAACCCAGTGGAGGAAGAACTGTCTGTTCACCAGAGGTACTGGGACCACTGGAAATGCACGTGAAAAGAATGAACTCGGAACCCAAGCTCACGTTCCACGCTAAAATGAAGTCAAAACAGGCCACAGACCTCACTGGAAGAGACGAACTTTAAACTCTTAGAAGAAAACATACGAGTAAATCTTCAAAACCTTGGGCCTCGCTAGATATGACACTAAAGGCATAAATGATCAAATAAAAAATAAGTAAACTGAGTTCATAAAAATTAAAAATAAAAAGACAACCTACAGAATGGAAGAAAATATTTACAAATCATGTCCTGATGAAAGTCCAATATCTACAATATATAAAGAACACTTACATCTCAACAATAAAGACAAAAAACCCAACTTAAAAATGGGCAAAGGATTTGAATACACATTTCTCCAAAGAAGATACACACATTACCAAAAAGCACATGAAAAGATGCTCAACATCATTAGTCATTAAGGAAATGCAAATAAAAACCACATGAGATATCACTTCACGCCCACTAGGATGGCCATAAAAAACACAAAAGAAAAACCAATAAAAAAAAAAAACAAGCCTTGGCAAAGTTGCAGAGAAACTGGAGTCCTCATATATTGTGGTAACATTATAAAACAACGGAACCACTTTGAAAACAGTCTGATGATTCCTCAAAGTGTCATACACAGAATCATCCTGAGCCAGCAAAGGTTTACCCCTCCACACATACCCAGAAAATAGAAGGCATGCGTCCACACAAACTTGTCTGTGAATGTTCACTGAAACATTCTTCATAATAGCCAGAATAACGAAAATGAATTAAATGTCCACCAACTGATAAATGTTTAAACAAACTGTTGTGTATGTCTATACAACAGTGCAGTATTTGGCAATAAAAAGGAAGGGAAGATTGATGACATGAATGAAACTTGAAAACATTTTGCTAAATCAACGAAGCCAGTCACAAAAGACCACACAATTCATTTACACGAAACGTCCAATACAGACACATCTATAGAGACAGAAAGCACAGTAGTGGCTGCCAGGGGCTAAGGCAGTGAAAACGCTCTAAAATTAGGTTGTGAGATGGGGTGATGGTTGCACAGTTCCGTGAGGAACAGGGGAGGCACTTTAAGTGACCGAATTTTGTGGGATGTGAATTCTATCTTAATAAGAGCTATTAAATATAAACGAAAATGCAAAGAAGGGAAAAAAAACAAAGGAAAGTTTCATTCCAGCCAGAGCAGCACTAAACCAAGGAGGGCCCCCGCTGTGCTGGGGAGCCACAGCCACCGCGCCTGTGCTTGCGGTGGGGCCTGCAGGGCCTTCCCGGGCCCCTCGGACAGCAGGCTCAGGCTGGGCCGCGGAGAGGCCGCGAGGGCCCGTCTTCTCGGGGCTTCAGCTGCACAGAGGGAAGGAGACACGGTACGGGATCGTCTCATGGAATATGAGTCCTCACGGGAAAGAGCGCAGCTGTCCTGAAGTCTGACCAAGGTCCGAACCAGAAGGGGAGAGGCAGCACGGTCCCTGGAGCGCTCAGTGAGAAAGGGTGGCGCGCAGGCGCACCCCGGGGAGGGGCGCCGGCGGCCGTGAGAGCAGGGGCGCGGAGGCCCACGCGGGCCGCGGAGGCGCGCGGCCTCCCAGACACAGCCCGTGCCGCTCGGGAAGGGGCTGCTGTGATGCCAAGATGACGAAGGCCCGCATGTGGGGAAGGGCAGAGGCCGTCAAAGCGAGGCAGAGCGGATGACAGGCAAGCTCTCATCCAACCAAGGCCTCTCTCTGAGGCCCCTAATTCCACGTATCCTTAAATCAGCTCCATTAACTGAGGAAATCTGAACACCCGCCTTGCTTTTAGTGCTTTTATCACCACTAACACGGCACCAGGCATTCAGAGCTCTCACTCACAGTCAGCAGAGAAACCTGACCCATCACAGCTCCCTCATCTCCGGCCACCAAAGGACGTTCCAAGATAAGGCTGAAAGTGCTCATAGGAAAAGCCTTCGCTGTCAGCACATGCAAACTGAACTTTCTCTAGGCTTTCCAAGCCCTTACAGAATGCAGGTCAAATCAGCGCAGTCTCTGGCCTAAAACCTTTCAGTATAGTCCACTGGTTTTAGGACTTAAAGCAAATCCAAATTTGCAAATTAAATCTTCCTTACAATGCTGAGGAAGGGCTATTTCATTTTATAAAAAATGAAAATAGGAGTAATATTTTAAATCCCTAAGAATAACATGTTTGGTGGCAAAGTGCCCAGACATTACATTACAGGTAAATTAATTTTTCTTGTCTCCCCACTGGAATGAGAGCTCCATTGAGACAGAAGTGCCAGACCAATACCTGGCCAAGAGCAGAGGCTCGGTGAGGCAGATGGTGAAGGAAAGCCTGGATACCACGACCTACAGAAGTCTAAGCAGTGGGTTTTATTTACTCACTGAACAAGTAGTAGTAGTAAGCAGTAGTAGCAGTAAGGAAGTAGTAGTAAGTAGTATAAAAGTAGTAACATATATTCATAATATGTTGAGTCAAGAGCTTTTGGAATGTCAACAGTTGTCCACACAAGGAAATATAAATAATCAAATGGAAAAATGGACAACCCTATAAGCTGTTCATGAAATGTACATGAAAAGAATTGTAAATGTACATGTTCATGAAAAGAATTTTAAGGTACTATTACATACACCTACTAAGACATGGAAAACCTTTCTTTCTGGTGAGCCACACCCAGGCAGGACTGGAGGCAGGTGGGGTGGGAAGATACTTGGCAGGAATGCCATTAGTGGTGACCAGGGAGGGTCTGGCTTCCTGAAAAGCACTCTGGCAAGATTAACAAGCTATACAGAACAGTGCAGTCTTTAACTACAGAATCCTTTTTACAAAATACACCCCAGCGAAATAGGTAGACCAAAAGAAAAACATAGAAAGCTGTAAAATACGTACACCATCTAATGACAATAATGGAAAACTGGACACATGCAGTGACCAACAGGACTACGCAAACTATGAAACAGCAACACCATGAACCACACAGCCGTCACCAAGAAGTGTACAGACTCCTCTGACACTCTACACACACACACGTTATTTCCGTATGTACCAGGGTTTTCCCCAAAAGCAGAGCACGTTAAAACTCCCAATTCTGACTATGTGAAAAGAGCTGTTGGTCCTCTACATCAGACACCAAAACGAAGCAGCTACAAAGCTGGGTGTTTACCAGCATTCAAAATAAACGTACTACTAAAATACCTGTGTTTGCGAAAGCTGAACACTCTGGACCTGTGGAAGCAGAAAGTAAGCATTCGGAAGCTGCTCTGCAGACCCTTTTGCAGAGACTCTGCGAGTACCAATTCCAGATACCTGCAGAAAAAGAAAAAAAAACCCAACAACTGAGTTTCGAAACACATTTGACACAACACTGAAATACTTTTCCAAAGGAAATCTGTGTTCATCAACTTGGCCTTCAAGACTATTTATCCAGTTATTATACTCATCTCTGTCTACTTAAAAAACTGCAACAAAAACTGCTGTATTTAAGCTGAGTGTTTCTCACTGTAGCAAATCTTTACAGAAATAGCTTTTCTGATAAGGGACAACAGTTGAATGGAATTCAGGTAGAGTTAGCCACAAAAATGCTAGATCTTGGCACTTAAATGAAAGATGTCACAGACACCACTCAAGATAAAGATTTCTGACTGTTTTTGTGAACAAAAACAAAAAGACTCCTGTCCCTTGCCCCCCCAACCACAGCTTGGCTAGAACAGGGAGCCCCTGAGGACCGGCCTCCAAGCCCACAACCAGAAATAGTCCGAAGCCCAGGAGAGGAGGGGGCGAGAGTCTCAGAAGCGCTCACAGCCTCCAGCTCTGGACTGCTTGAGGTGGAGGTCATGAACTTTGAAACCCCACTGTATTTTACAGTAGAAAACTGTACAGCACATTTCTGTTTTGTTCCAATACCCTTTCGAGATCCAAGGTGTGTTCCAGCCCTGCACTCTGCAGGAAAGACAGGTACCCATGAGCAGTGCAAAGAGGCAGGCTGGTGAGCTAAACATCAACTAAGCAGCCTTATGTTTGAATGACACAAACCAGGTGGCATCATTTCCAAAAGGCTTTTTTTCCTTTAATATCCAAACACCTTCATTAAATCAGCAGCCAAATTATATGACCAAAAGAAAAAGCTACTTACATGATAAGAGAGAACTCCATGTGAGGAGGTATTAATAAATAAAGAACTTTCAATGCTTCCTTCTTCAGTGGGTAAGAAAATAATTCTGAAGGAAGTCTTCCCCATTGCTGGAATTACCTGAAAGAAAGGCACTTCATTAGCCACTTGGAATGGCCCTTCTTTGACAAATTATCTTTCACAGATTTTTTTATTTTTTTACAATTCCAGATATTGGCATATTCTTGCACCCTTGATTTATACATATCATGGATCCCTGAGAATATCCAAACAGGTCAACACCCAAAAATCTAAAAGAAAATATCAACAACACCATGGACTTAGGGCAAGACCGCTCTCAGCCCGGCTAGAGTCACAGGCCCCACATCTTCCCTCTCCTCTTCCTCATCCTTGTCTTCAAGGGCCAGTATCTACACGGTTCCACCTCTACTTAAGTAACAGAACCACCAGTGTACAAACATGCTGCTGCTTAATAAAAGCCAGGGACAGCGTTCATCTGGACAGACTGCCCAGATCTGGACAGATCCGTTCATCTGGACAGATACCAGGTTCCCCCTTACACCACTTCCTGAGTCCCAGTATTGATTTTAAGAAACGGGTATCACATAAACATAGTAAGGAAAATAAGTAAACTCTACTAGTAACCTGGATTTTCATTAAAAATTAAAGGTAAAGTGAATTACTAAAATTCAAACTATTAGAAGACTAGGGTTTGGAGCTCTGTGTTGATGCAAATAAGCTTCACAAGGAACCACTCACCCTCTCTTAGTCCTATACTAAGAAAACAGTCTAGTAGGCTGGCCAGGTTAAAAGATCACCACTATAAACTTGACTAGTTACTACATGCTTCAGCATTTGTAGTCATCATGAGACAAGCAATATTAAGTTTCTTTAACTATGAAAAAGTCATATTGAATACACACACATTACCAGCTAGTTTCAACTCTTTAAACTTCTCTTTCCACGTCAGTATCAACAGCCACAAAATTATGAATCTGAACAACTGAAAAAACAAACGCTAAAGCAAACACACAGAAGGAAAGAGCTTGGGTAGCAGAAAACGGAGAGACAGGCAGCAGAAAGTAAAAAAACTGCAGGCCAAAGAAAGCAAGAAACGCCGGCAGCCCGCCACAGCTTAGCTTCTAAGAGCTGGTCCACACTCACCCTGCAGTGAACAGGAGGCACATGGAAATGCCTCGCGGCTGTAAACACGGAATTCACTACCACCTCACTTTCCCTGCTTGGGTTGTAAGCGTAGAGAACCTTTGCTGCAGGCTGTCCCAGAAACCTAGGTGGGGAAAGAGAAGAAAATGCAAGGGTTAGAAACAAAATATCCATCCAGTCATCCACCCATCAATACATATACGCAGTCTAACACAGAAAGCTGTTGATCTTCATAACAAAGTGGAAAACAATCCTATTGCTAATAGAATAATCCTACTGTTAATTCTATCCACAAAGAGTCCAAAAAACTTTTTTAATTCTTTCTTTTATAAGACATTTATGCCAACCCATAGCAGCACCCCACTGATTTTTGTATTAGAAGAATTCAACCCTTCTAGGCCATTATTAAATAGGCTTCCCAGGTGGCGCTAGTGGTAAAAACACCTGCCTTCTAATGCAGGAGACAAGAGAGACTGGGGTTCGATCCCTGGGTCAGGAAGATCTCCTGGAGAAGGAAATGGCAACCCACTCCAGTATTCTTGCCTGGAAAATCCTACAGACAGAGAAGCCTGGCGGGCTACAGTCCAGAGCTGCAAAGAGCCAGACACGACTGAAGTGACTTAGCATGCACAGGCTGTTAAATGCTTGCAAAAAACACCTAGAGGGAACTAGGTACCTGTCTGACATGGGTCTCTAATTTGAATGAAAATATATTTAGAAAAGAAACTGTACTCATAGAAAAATCCAATTTTCTTAGGGTTCATTTACTGAGTAATAAATTTAAATAGACTTTTGGGGGGAATGGATTTTAACTAGTAAAGAGACTTTATTAAGTCTTATAAAAGGAAACTTAATCATTAAACACCATTCTTCTGAGAAAAATGAAAACTCTGCAGCACTTTTAGCTTTGGCTCTTATCCATTTAAATCATGAGTCTTTCAAAAAACTCTAATGAAAGCTTTGGCTCCTCCATCCAAAATATGCACACAAAAGTTTTATATATACTTTCCATGACCCTCACAGTAAGAGTTTCTGTTCTTCAGCAAACACCCTAATCAAGAGACCCTGGTGCCAAATCTTTTCAGCAAGGATCTCTGTCTAGAAGGCGGTTTCTCACAAAGAACTGCAAGAGGAAAGGGAATGGTTTCTGGCCTACCTATCTGGAGCTACCTGCAAGATTTCCTGGAATCATTTACTCTGATCCCTACCACCCAATACCAAATTCATCTAGTTAAGCGTTGTGATAAATAGACAGCCAGTAAAAACTTCACTCAAGTCATCTCTCTAGTTTTAACACCCTCAGTGGCAGAGGCCCAAATAGACAGTTCTCATCAGTATGGCCCAGAAATAAAACTACATTTCTAAATTCAGCATAAGATCATCTACATTATACTTGTGTTTCTCTGATTTTGTTCCAATTTCTCTGACATTAAAAATGTGTGCTTTAGGAAAAACTAAATGCATACTCTTTCTCTTACAAACAATGGGGTTTCCAAAATACTGTATTTGCCATCAATTCCTTGAAGTTTTTCTTTCAACTTTTCCTCCTACTTTTCATCACAAGTCTTAACTGAAGGCTTAATATGTTCAATATGTATTTTAAAAGTCCTTAACAACCAGTAACAAATAAAATAGATATCAGTGTGATTAAAACTTTGATTTCTTTAGAGTGTTCTTAAATAATACAACTAAAAATTTTCTGTACTATCATATATAGCAGGTCACCTCAGAAAGCCCTAGGTCAGGAGCACTGGGCTCGTTATCTGCCTTTTTCTTCAATTAAATTAAATAAAAACTTCCATGATTTTAGGTTTTTCAGTGAATAATATGAATCAATCAGCAAAGTTACTAATATTTATCTCATTCACATCGTTGCAATACAGGATTTTTAGTTTCAAAAGATACAAATGTCTCCCGGAGCAACACAAAACTGCCATGTTGCGGAGTCCAGTAGCTATGTCCCCCAGAAACCTCACCAGACCTAACAGAAAATGCTAGCCAAAACCTAGTTACCACTGTGCTATTTTTACCCTATTTTTTTTAAACTCTATTTTTAAAAGTGTCATGAGGATAAGAATTTCCTTCACAAGCGACAACTGGAAGATACTCTATTAATTTAATACTACAACAGAATGATTAAAATTTCTTATGAATGATTAGCACTTTTAATCTCAGGACCAGAAGAATATTAACCCTTAAAATAGACCCTAAGAAGCAGGCGGAGGGTAACAAAATAACATGATCCTCATTCTGTATCCTAGAGAGAAACCAGAGCTGTGAGAAGGGATGAGGTTTGCTCAAGGTCAACGTCAAAATAAACAATAGCAAAACTCGACCTAGTACAGAGAAGAAACGAGGAGAATGTGCTGGTTAAAGTGTGTCTAACGCCTATAAATTGGGCCATTTGTTAGAAGTAAGATAAAACCTGACTAATTTTTTAAATGCTCTGATTTGGGCTGTATTTTGTTATCACTGAATGACTGTTTTAAACTTTAGCAAAAAATAAGGTTCCCATAACCACATCCTAGATCTTAGTTATGAGAAAAATAGCATAGCACATACTGGCTTAGAAATCAAGATTTACTGCCACTTCTAGTGAAATAACCAATAACCTTGGGGAAAAATGCATTATTTCTCAGCACAAACATATGAGCATCTATAGTACATGCTCAAATATAGAGATATTTGGAAATAATTCTCTCTTTCCGATAACACCTATCTCCACTATCCTTCCAGGATTGATATAAGACTCAACTCACAAGAGAGAAGATTGTATTTTAGAACTGTAAACTACTACATAAACAAAACTGAATCATCCAAAGGTGATTCAAGTCTAAAACTTAGTAACCTTTTCAAGTCAAAAACTTTAAACATGTCTTTTCAACATGACTTAACAGCTATCAGAACCGGAAACTGATGTGCAGAGCTAAGGAACATATGCAGACAACGCATACACCCGTGCATGGGCACTGGCGGCAGGACTTTTATATTGACAGAGTAACTATACTTATAGGCAGCCAGTGTCCTGTGAACTGGAATTGCTATCACAGCCTAACTGTATTTACTACTATCCCTCTTACGGTATCTACCAATCTATAATATATAAGTAGGTCCTGCATTAAGAGTTCTCTTAACCATACTTTTGACAGAAGCAAAATAATCTCTTGGAAATTGAAACTGATGAGGTTTTATTATAAAATCTCATTCTTTACTTAAAAGTAAAAATATAAGAATTCAAAAACAAAAAAGCAGATGCCTAGAATTTTGTAAAATCAGCAAGTTCCCTTTGCACGTTTATCACATCTTCCTTTTAAACGCTCTCCTTAAAAAGTTCAACAATGTACTCCTAAATTTAAAATTCATTATTCTTCACTGCAGCTCTGATCTTTTGACGATCAGAAGGAAATGGAAGAAGGAAACCAGATGAATGAAGGACACACCAGGAGAGCGCCACTAACTTGCCCCAGATGCTCTCCCAGCACCATGGTTACTTCACTCACATAACTTTTTTTTGCAACTCAAAAAAGTTCTTCATAAAGCTGATGCTGCAGGATGCTACAACAAGCAGAGTTTTTAATCCTGAAACACTCTTTTACTTCCACCTTGAAACTCTACATGAAATTGAATCCATCCAGTACAGCAAAATTCTACATCCAGTGAGTCTAACACTTCACATCTTAAACTTCACTACAACCAACATGAGTCCTAACGTTCCCTCCTGAGAACAACTTCATCCTTCTCTTAATTTCTGAGTTCCCAAATCAGTCCCTCAACTGACACTCAGATCATCCCCTTCATCTCATGGTTCTCAACAAGAGGCACTGTAAGGAATTACAGATTCCACTCTGTCTTCCCCACCTGTTCCCAAAACCCCAATCACAATAACTAATGCATGTACAATTTTGAATCCCAAAGCACAAGGAGCAGTAAAAACAAGTAAATAAGTAAATCTGATTTTAAAAATTCAGAAACCATTGATATGTAGAGTTTTTCATTAAAAAATTATCTGCTTTGTTTCAGAAAAACAAGGATGTAATACCACAGACTTAAGTTATAAGACATATTTATTAAAAACTAAAGAAAGGACTAAAACAACTCTTATACTCTCCTTTTCACAAGAAAGTTCCTTTCAACAAGTTCTAGGAACAGTATCTCTTGATATTATCTATTTAAAATATATTCAGTATCATACATACATTAAAATATCCTGAAAGTAAGTAGTGTAAGTAATAAATTGCTAAAAATTATAAGGAGAAAATACTTACTGAACTCCAAAATCTAGAACTGATGGCTGAAAATGTAAGCCTTTTCCACTAAATAGCTTGTCTGAGAAGCTAAAAAGAAAAGAAAACACAGATTAACTTTTGTTTGTTGTGTGCTTTTGTTGAATGCCAAGTTAAGAGGCTATATACTTAGGCTGATAACTCTCATGAGATATAATTTTACCCCCTAAAACATGAGTTTGAGCTAGATCTTAAATGGTAAAATGTTAATAGCTAAATTATTTGAAGTCTAATATAATTCTATAGCTGCAAAAGTTTAAGTTGCCAACGTGTGTCTGACTCTCTTGCTACCCCATGGACTGTAGCCCACCAGGCTCCTCTGTCCGTGGGATTCTCCAGGCAAGAATACTGGAGTGGGTTGCCATTTCCTTCTCCAGGGGGTCTTCCCGATCAACCAGAGTCTCCTGCTGCACTGGCAGGCGGATTCTACTGATAACTACTGAGCCACCAGGGAAGCCCAAGATGCTCTTAGATGATGGTTAATACACAGCTTTTATAAGCATTCAGATAAAAATGCAGATAGATTTAATTTTGAATGGGCTTCATTTCTCGATGAATTCAGGAAACATATCCATTTTCACAAGCTCCAAATCAAGAAAAAACACAGGGGTGGGAATTGAGGGTAGGGGGCTGGAGAGGGAAGGAGCTCTGCCTTCTGCTTTCATCAGATTAGTTATAACAGGAAAAGGACTGGGAGCAAGGGTTGCCCCTTCAGACTGAAACCATCACCAAGGCTGTATCTTTAAGATTAACATATCAAATAAAATATCACACAGCAGGTCATATTTTGAGCAGTTGTTAATCATTATTATGATTTCATTTTCCTTCAGAATAAAAAAACAGAATTAATATACCCAAAAAGACACATCAAAAATAAGCCATAACAATATATATGAATAAAGACATAAAATATAAAACTACATACAAATATATAGCATATATAATATAAAATATGCGTGTGTATCAAGAAACTATTAACTGCCATATAACTTTTTAAGTAATATTTTCTTAATCTGTTTTAAATCTAGCAGTGTGTACATGTTAATCCCACACTCCCAATCTGTCCCTGTCCACCACTTCCCCTCTGGCATCCATAACTGTGCTCTAAGGCTGTGACTCTGCTTCTGTTTCGTGAATATTAATATGTCCATTTGCATCATGTTTTTAAGATTCCCCATATATCACATATTTGTGTTTCTCTGACTTACTTCAGAGTCATACAACATCTTAAAATCCATGTATTCCAAAAATACTTAACTTAGAGAAGCTCCTAAATGCAGCACACATAGCTGTTTTCAATGAGTCAAGTTCTCCCAAATAACAATCTTTCCACGGTCTCCTCCCACCAGCAGCCCTGCACCGAGCTCGAGCCAGAGGCTGGAGTGGACATTCACGTCCCACACCTGCCGGCCCACAGCACTGCTGTGACCTGCGGCAGGCCCGGCTCCCGCCCGTCCTGAAGGCGCCAGAGTACAGAGACGAGAGACCCGTCCACACCCTCAGCTCCGGGTGAGCCCTGGCTGCAGCCTCCCTTCCCTCCCCTCTTCTGACTGGACCTAAGCTTCCCTTCCTCCGGCCTCTCCCCTTAGAGTCCCATCTCCTTCTCTTATCGCTGTCTCCTTTGTTCTCCATCCGGCATCACCTCTATTAATAATAAAGGTGACGCTTCGGTCTCCCCTCTGCCAACTCTTTCCTGGTGTCCATGTCAAGAGGTATGCTATTTACTGGGCGCTCTCAAAGCCTAAAAGGCCAGGACTAACTCCATGATTTGCTTGCAAAAACAGGCCACAAACACACCCAGCTTCCTCCAGAAATGTTTTGAAAAGCCACAGGAGGCCAATGGTCATAAAGAGTTGCCAACATCAGATGCACCAGAGTCACCCCCACTACAGACCAGGCTGGCCAGTGCTCAGCATTCCAGAAAGAAAAGAAAACAGGCAACTTCACGTGCCAAAAGTTACCTTAGAAAAGTCAGGCTAATGTATTAGTAAAAAGTAAAAGAGTCAGTGACGGTCTATCTCATGCCTCGTATACTGAAGGTGAATTTATCGTCAGATATCACACACAGCTTCTGAATGAAGACGAGCTTTGGAGGATTTAAGTAATTCACCCAAGATCACATAGCTACTGAGGAAGAGCCAAAACTCCAGTGCAGATCTGTCTGGCTCACAAACATGACCCCTGTAGGAGTTCAAGTCTATCCAAGCTCCTGTGACCTACCCAAGGAACCAAGGTAGTCTCGCCTGCCAGGAGAGGAAGGGGCTTTGGAGCCATGACTATCTAGTACTGCATGAACTGGTCACTTAGTGTCCGTAATATGAAAATGACAACAGTGTCTGCCTTATAGTTATCTGGAGGTTAAAATGAAATAATGATGTCTTTGCGTCATGCCTGGCACATAACGCGATACCTATCAGATCGTGTTACTAAGAGGATGACTCTCACATAACAGAAAAGGCAATGGCAACAGATGGAGAGACCAGTTGAGCTTGGAGCAGAGCAGACCCTGGGATTTAGAAGTCCCAAATGGAGGAGAAGTAATTACCTGTGAATAGAACAAGTGAAACAGAAACCTGGGCTGTCTTATACCATGAGTTTACGAAAGCGCACAATCAGGAAGTTCTTCACACCCGATGAAAAAAAGACATTTAAGGGTCAACCTAAGCAAAAGCGTAGAAACAGCCATAATTTCTCTAACTTCAAAGAAGTCAGAGGTCTTAGAATGGAGAAGTAAAACCATGTCAATATTTCTTCCAAAAGTCACAGAACAGATACATCTTTCTCATTTGGTCAGTTTTAGCTCAACTTACTTTTGCCATCTGGAAACTGGATTAAGTTACACAAGGAGATGGTGGGAAAGGAGAGCCCACTTTGCACCTATAGCAGGAACAAGGCACAGAGCCAAAACAGAACGGAGACCGCAAACCGAGGCGGGGCTCTGGTCATGGGCCCCCTTGTCCACCTCCACTGCTTCTGCAGACGTCCACCCCCTGCAAAGAGCCACGCCTTCCCTCCGCTGCAGGACATGTGGACAAGGAATTCCACACATGCTTTTTTGAAAGAATATCTTTGCCTAAGAGTATATGACTTCATCTTCTTTCTTTTTTTAAAAAAACTTTGGCCATCATTTATCTCTGTATATAAAATAAAGAAACACAGTTCAAATAAGTGGCTAGTATGAGAGGGAAAAATTTCCCTGGAAATGAGAAGTGAATGAGAAGGTCCCAGCCAAGAGTTCCTATGTGACACAAGGCTTGTTCTCGGTCTCCTCCTCAAGGGGGATGGGATTGGGGGGGCGGGGGGGAGGAGGGAATGGGATGGGTGTGCCAAGATACTTAGAAAAGGGTTTGGATGTAAATTACATCCTAGAAAAATTATATCCAGCTGCCAATATCTGGCACACCCTTTAAAAAATTCAGTCCAGTAACAGGTATAAAAATGAATTAACTCTAAGCAACTGTTCTGGCCATTCACAGATGTTACCTCACCAAGGCTCCCATCTTGGGAACGAGCATCAGGGCTCAGGGGCTGGTTCCAGTCTAGCAGCCCCCAGGTTCAGAGCACCCCCCAGGTTCAGAGCACCCGGTTGCATGGGGTATGAGGTGCAGCCAGCTCAGAGGAGCCTCCCCTCCAGATCATGATGCAGGGGGCCAGGCTCATGAGCCAACAGGCGAAACTCACAGATCAAGCCAGTGCAAAGACAGGGAAGGAGAAACTTCCTGCAAGAGTCACAAAAGGCTTCCGGGCTCAGGCTCCCCGGACAGCTATCCTGGAGGTGCCTCCAGCCAGGCCAACGGCTTCAAGAAGCACCGGTCACTCTGGAGAACACCATCTGAGCAGCTGGGGGCTCCAAGCAAGCAGCAGAGTGCAGAGTGCAGAGACGAAGAGGGGGTGTGAGCAGGGAGGATGGAGCGGGCGGATGGGGGCAGCCCTGAGATGGCTCCTGGACCCCGAGGGTAGGAGAAGCACGTGAGGTCTGCAGGGCAGGGGCCTGTGCTTACCTTCCCCTCCAGGTCTCACTGGTCTCTGGGAAAACTGCCGCGGCCCACAACCAGGGAGGAAGGAGCCTCCCGTTCCAGCAGGGATCTGAGAGACGGTGACTACGGAAGGAGGGGGGGGCGGGTGCTGCCTGGTGGTCCACACCCCTAAACGGACCAGTTCTCATCTGCTCTGAAGCCCCGCCGACTACAGCGCCAGCTGCCTTTTACAGCCAAACTCTTTCAATGGGGGGGGGGGGGGGTGGAGAGAAAGAGCACTTTTTTTTTTCTTTAGGTCAACCATGACAATGGCTTTAGGCACTGGATGAGGATGAAAAGGTTGCAGCGGTCTAGATGCTGAGGTGTTGAGGAAAACCGGTTATGTTAATGAGCTCCTTAATGAGCAGCTTACTGGGCTGTTTTCCTCTTAAGAAGCTGAGCACCTATTCAGATCCCAGAGCTGGGAAACCTCTCGGAAGGTAGGGATCCCTGCACTATTAATCCCCCTGGGCCCTGAGCAGGAAACAGGGATTTCTGAGTCAGCTGCCATTCCCAGGGGTCCTAGAGGAATTCAGTACCGGCCCTCCAAGCAGTGGACTGGCACGCGCCCTGTAGGGATGGAAGAAGCCCCAGCCTCCTGCAGCCCCCAGTCAGATGGGCAGCCTCAGGGCAAGACCTGCAGCTCCCACCAGCACCGCTGCCCAGAGGATTCCTGGGACCCATCTGTACCTGTCTGAGGGCCTTCCCTGGAAACACAAATGCCCAGGCTGCCTGACTGATGAAATGAGTTCTGTAACTACATGAGTTATAACATCATAATCATGGTGCTATCAGTTGCTTTCTGCTTTAAATTTAAAAAATACTTCTCCCATAAGTTTACCAAAAGGGAAAAATATGAAATACACATGCATGTCTACTTAAGTTAGAAATGTCATTCTTCCCAGTAAATTAATTAACTTGCAAGCGACCACTTAAAAATGGAGGCAGAAACCCACATTCTTCCCCATTAAGTTCCCACAGAGGGAGAAAAAGTCATTTGGTAGGACACAATTTTCCTAGCTGCTGCTTCTTTTA